AAAAAAAAAAATTTCATAAACCTAATGGTGACTGGCAGTGCTTTCTAAAGCTAACCTTGGCTTTTTAAAAAATCTATTTTGGCCAGTCCATGAGCTAAGCAGGTGTTCCAACTCTACTCCAGTTCCAATGTCCTAGCTCCTCTGTGTGGGAGAAGCCTTTATACAGACAACACAGCCTCTTACACAGTGTTAGGGAAGGTCACCAAAAATATGTGACCAACCAGGGGGTCCCCGGGGCTCAGTTGGTTAAGCGTCTGACTCCTGGTTTCAGCGCAGGTCATGATCTCACAGTTCATGAGTTCAAGCCCCGAGTTAGGCTCTGCACACTGACAGTGCAGAACTCTCTCTCCCTCTCTCTTTGTCCCTCCCCTGGTCATGCTCTATCTCTCTCAAAATAAATAAATAGCCTTTTATTTGTTTTAAATGTGACCACCAGTTGACCCATGAGCCGGACTCAAAGGATCAGAGGCTCCTCACCACTTCCCCTGTCCTTGGAATGTGGGTTCTGCTTGCCTTTCTGGCTCCCAAGGGCTGCTTCTATGACACAGCCTCGAGATGATGACGTGGGATTGAGAACACCTGCACAGTAACTTGGCTCAACCCAGTTGAGGCCTCTCTCCCTACAAACTTTTAAGATTTGGTGGGCGGGGGTAGGGATCCATTTGTCTTGCTGCCACCCAAGGCAAGCCTCTCAGGTAAGTTCCCTTTGCATCTTAAAACTGTGACCTGCCAACTTGGGCCTCTTTTTTCTGTCTGCCTCTGCCCTCTGAGTACAGGGGCCAGTTTCAGATTACTCCCAAGAAGCTCCCTAGCAACTTGTAAACCAACACAACCCCACGGCCCTAGAATGTGGGTAACGGAAGTGACCTGAATGGTCACCTGGCCAACCACTTTGCACAGAGGAAGACACAGAGTCTGAGAGGGGAGAAGACTTGCCCGAGGCCACACGAAAATGGGCAGCAGAGCTGGGACCGATCACAGCTGAGGCTGACTTCTGCTTCTAAGGTGTGCCGCCGCACACTTGCTCATAGCGTCCTCCCTCACATGGATGCCATGATGTCGGAGAGGACACCCCCGCCCCTCCATGTGCAGGCTGCTCACCTGGACCATCTTGGTGTGAAGACCTTGGCCCATCTCAGTGCCTCCATGGATCAGCAGCACAGAGCCATCTGTATACACGTGAACCAGTGCTCCTGCCTACAGGAAGAGAAGGATTCCAAACACAAAATTGGGTCAATCCTAACTCAGCCAGATGCTTGGGGCCAATATTTCTGGAGCCCAGGAGAAAGAAAACTGGAAGCAGCATTTGGATTAAAGCCTCAGACTCCAATTAAAGCACCGTGAATCTTGTGATTTAATCATGTAGCCCTTCAACAGTTCCC